GCACACACACAGGTGCCTGCAGCAATTCTTGGGATAATGGGTAGCAATTCCTCACACCAGTCCTAGAGGTAATGGACTGAAGAGTCTTTCCTACTGAAAGAGCTCTTTCCTACTCATCCCTCAGGCAATGGATGGTGGAGTCCCAGTTCAGCTCCTCACACCCTTCTCACAGGCAGTGGATATTTGAGTCTTAACTCCTCCCACCCATCTCTGAGACAAAAGATAGGTGGATTTCCATCTTAGCTTCTCAGACCAGTCTTTGAGACAATGGACAGTGGAGTCTGATTTCAGATCAGTCTCTCGCACCTGCTTGGTGTTAATCATATAGCCAAGTCTTTATCCAGAGCAGGCCTATTTGTAGGTGATAAATCTGTCTGCAGGTAACCAATGAAGGTGGTGCAAAACTGAGGATTATTTCCTAAGGGTATTAAGTGTCTATCAGCTGGGATGGCTTGTGAGAAAGGGAGCTTTAAACCTGCCACTGACTCTTCAGCTTGTCCATGAGGTTTTCAGGGCTGGTTTGGGGTTCAGTATTGATGGTTCCACACCTCAGCCTGTGTCAGCTGAAGACTCAGAGTGATGTTAGCCAAACACATGATGCCTCCGTAGTACATTCTCTGTGCTACTGTACACACGGTGTCTCCCACATGATACACATTTTCTGCTACTGGTCTAAAGGATGCTCTCTTTGCTTTTCACAGGTTGTGCTGCCCACCTGACCCAGGGAAGAAACTGTTAGGAGACCCATTTACCCCCACGTTGGCTATACCTTTTGATATGTTTCCTCATACTGTTCATTGTGAGCTGGTGCTGCTGCTAACCCGCTGACAAGGACATAGGTATGCCAGCTCTGAGAGCTTGGGAAGCAACCTCCTGCAGTACTGAAGCCTGGAGTCTACGTAGTGATGGATTTTAACTTATTTTGTTGACATTTGTATTTAAAAAACAAATAATTTCGCTTTTGCTCTTACTTTGGGTTGCCTCACACTGTTTTGTAAGGAAACACTCGGATTTCTGGGATGAAAAAGTTCTCTGTAGCATTTCATCACCCTTCTCTCCCCTGCATCCCCATCTCTTCATGGGATGCTGGTTAAAGCAGCCTGGAAAATACGCTCCCCCTGCTATTGTGGGTTTTCACCATCAACATGTGAATATGGAATACTAAAATCCACTGTATTTTCAAGTACTGCATGCTGTTAGTTCTCTGCTTGCTTCAAGGATTTTTCAGGTGTTTTTCAAGTTGATAGTGAATTTACAATGAAGAAACAGTAGGAACTAGAAACCCTCATGTTTCACTGGGAAAATGTGGACTTTTGGGGTCGGGAATGTTTCCTGTGTAAACTTCCGAACCCACTACTGAATGACTTTCAGTCATGTGGGCATGTTGGAGGCAGTGGGGAAGATTTGTCTATAAAATGAAGAGAGAGCAGGTTTCAGCATGTCCCATCCTCGCCGTTCTCTGCTAATCCTTGTTGATAACCTAAATATGAAGTGCCTTGTGAAAATGTCAGCAGCAACAAGTTATTTCCCCATCAGGTTGCTCTGCTATAGCCAATTCAGAAATTTGCTGTGTTTTGTATCTGTCCTGCCATGCTCACTGACTGGCAAGCTGTGATCCTTGTTCTCCTCAACTCTTCAAAAGATGGAGTTGCTACAACCTGGAGATGAGTGAGCAGTCCCCTTGTGTTCGTGAACTCCACGCTGTTTACAGGGCTCCTTTTATTCTTCTAATTTTTACTTTTGTGTTGTATTGAAGTTACCTTTTGGTTTATCCTGGTCATCTGCACCAGAGCAGAACACTTACCTGCAGTGAGGCTGTTAAATTTGACTCTTTTCTCCAGAAGAGGAGTTCCCTATCTGATCTGGCTGAATCAAGGCTGACAAACTTCCAAGGAAACAGAGAGCTGCCTCTGTTTTTCAGACTTCAACTCCAGTCCTAAACAACTGTGAGCTTGGAATAGTAACAACAACCACCATGTCTCAAGCCATGAGAGTTTAAAATACATACCTGAGACTTACTACAGTAGAAAGGGGAGATGATGGGGGGATTCCTGCCAGGCATAGGAAGTGTCACTCTTGTGTTATCCCATGAGAATTTTGCACACTGTTACAGCCTTTTGTTTCAGTTAATAGCAAGGGATAGAGTTTTCCAAAGTTGTTTCATATCATTACACCCTGGCTTCTCACTGTGAGATCTGAATGGATTTCTGCTTAGCCTGGATACGGTTTTGTCAAAAGGAAATGTGTTGCAACTTAGAGGGGGAGAGATTATGACTTTTAATCAGAAAGTAACAGAGGATCAGGAACCCTTTCCAATACTCTCTGGTGAGCTGAAGACACAGGACACTTTATCTGCAGTGGGGAAGGGTGGCACAGTGGTCTCACTCTTTTGGGCATCAGGTTTCAGGACAGCCACAGGGACAAGACATCTTTTTCTGCTTTTTTGGGGGCAAATACACAGCAATAAACCCCCATATTGCTTAATAAATTAGTGCCTGAGCACCTGAAACTGAAAGCCGCCTATGTCCAAGGGACCTCTGACCACTCCACAGCAGGTTGCTCCCCTGCCTTCTGCTAACACATCCTTGTTTTCCCAGGAGTGAGCAACTGCACTATGCTTTGTGCATCCTGCATCCCTAGAACTGGCTCAGTTTCGGCTTTCTGTGTGTAATGTATGGAACGTTCAAGGAAACAGAGGATGACTTCATGGTAGGAGCGGTGGGAATACTCATTGCCTGGCAGGTGCTAGAGCTGCCTGGCTCTGCCTGCGTGGCTGCGGGGCATTAGGACCCGGAGGTTGCTGAGCGGAGGAGGCTGAATTCCCCTCCCGCTGTCATCCTGCTGCCTCTGCAGCTTTATTCCTCATCTCCTTCAATGGTGGCTGACAGCCTCCCGCTCGGGCGGGCAGCCACAGCGAGAAGGCCTCGCTAGGACTCGTTCCCTGCACCTCCATGGCATCCCCCAGGACCATCACCATAGTCGCCCTCTCGGTGGCCCTGGGGCTCTTCTTCGTCTTTATGGGGACCATCAAACTGACCCCTCGGCTCAGCAGAGATGCCTACAATGAGATGGTGAGTACGGCAGCGGCAACATGGAGGGAGAAACATGGGGGCTGTCTTCTCCTCAACCCTGCGGCAGAAGCACTGTTTGCAGTGGGATATACGGAGGGTGACTGCTCCGGGACGCTGAGCGATGGGGGGGGGGAGAAGGAAGAAGCTTATCTGTTTCTCTATTTGATGGACACAAGTAATACGCATTGCCATGGATATCCTGGCAGCCGTCGCTGGGCTCTGTCTGAGTGTATCCATGGAGAAACCTCTTGCGGAGGGGAGGGAAGGAGGACACCAATGCCTGGAAAATACCGGGATGCAAGGGTCTCAGAAAAGGCAGGTCTGTAGAAGTGCCAGACATGTAGCAGGCAGGTACAGCTGATCCCTGAGGGAATACCTACCCCTGGACTGAGGGTAGGAAAAATCAGATGCCTGCTTTGGCAGCCAGATTGTCATGCTCAAAATTCCGTGCTGTAAAGCAAGGATAATGACACTGACTGTCCCTACCTCACCAGGCTGAGCAGGGATTAATTCATGCCTGTGAAATGCTTTGAGATTCTTAGCTGGCAGAAGAAGATATTATTAATAGTCACCTTATCATTAGCCTGGGAAATAAGCCTCTCCTCCTTCTGCCTAATGGAAAGGGGTGAGGAGAGGATGGGGAAGTCACTGTGTGCATTTCCCAGCTGGTGAGCTAGTGCTGCTCATCCCTGCCCAGGGCCAACCCTGCTGCAGAGCTTTGCTGGCTGCAAGCTGCAGGCAGGCAGCTGCCACATCTTGCTGCCTTGTCCATGTTTGTTTATGCTCCTGCTGGCCCCTGTCACATTTATTGCAGTGGCTGAAATGCACTGGTATAAATTTTGTGCCCCTTAAAAATACAGTGCTAGAAGTTTCCAGCACATTCTGTTCTCTCCCCTTGCTCCACCTGCCCAGCTGCTTTTGCTTAGCTCTCAAGTAACATCTGAATCGCAGTGCCTCATCTGCAGCCCAGCACAGGGATCTCACAGAGGGGAATCTCTGAGAAGAGACTCAGGAGCAAGAGACAGAGATGAAACGCCCAGGAAACAAAGCTCTTAAGCTTCTGGTACATAAGGGACAGAACACAGCACTGAGACTTTGCATTGCAAAATCCTTGCTCTGTAAAATATTTCACTTCCCTCTCCCTTTCTGCTTTACCAAGAGCCAGGCCTCCAGTTAGGAATGATCTCCATTTTTAGAAAGACAACACAGAGGCACTGCTGTTACACAGCACCATCATTCTTCTATCATTCTTAATAGCTCATATTGTAACATGTTCACGGCTCATTAGGCTTTCATGCTTTTGCTATGCTGCATACCAGGGTGGTCTGCCATGTAATAGAGACAGTGAAAACCTGATTTTGCTCATCAATAAGCATGGCTTCTTGCCCCAGGCAAATAAGAGAACCGTTGTTATCTACCTGCAACACCAAACTTGAAGCTTTTCATTCAGCAAATGCCAGACACACTAGTTTGTCTATTAAAATACTTCAAATACCAGAGTACTCTAGGACATGCTGATAGTGCATTTCTTTAAAGAGCTGTATCTTTCACAACTGTACTCTGCTCTGAGGAGAGGTTTTATCCACTGATGGTTTAAAATCCATTCTTATTAATGAATACACTTGGAGTAACTGTGTCATGAGATCTTCAATTACTTGCTAGCTGTGTATTTTTGAAGTGCCAGATCCTCTTAGGAGAAAGCAGGAAAATTTACAGAGAAGTAGGGAAGTTCTGTGTGCCTCTAGTGCAGGTTTCCAAAACCACATGGAAGTAAATGTACAATGGGATTAGTGCCTGTGGGAGCTGAACAGCTCTGTACCAGAGATTTGACTTCCATTTCCCTCTCCCTGATTAGAAAGCAGCACAGTGGCAAGAGTATCCACAGGGATAGTATACTCAAGTGTAAGTGGAAATAATTTCAGTGTCTCAATAGCTAGGAGCTTTATTAAAATATATATAAAAGGAAATAATTGAAAAAGAAAACAAACCCAACTAGCCCCCAAGCACCTAATGTTCAAATGCAAGAACTTAAATGTGTGTAAGGACAGAGGTTGTTTCTTCTCTGAAACAATGAGGCAGCCGTGTAAGGAGGCTTAGTCTTCCAACTTACACTGCTTCTAAACCCAGCATAAACCAGGAAGCAGAGGATATCACAGGTCAGTTTGCTTTCACCTGAGGAAAGAAAGGATCACAAAGGTATATAAGCGCAAAATAGGGTTGTTGAATCTCAGCTTTCATGTATAGTGTCATGCTAAGATTGTACTGCTCCTAAACACTAGGATATTGTAAGTTGCTGCGAGGTATAAAGAGACTTCTCTTTTTCCTTGCTATGCCTTGGCTTTGCAGGGACTAGGTGTGTTATTTACTTAGGGACTAGCTACTCCTGGAGAGAGGTACTTCTTTTTTTTTTAACAACATGGTTCTGCATTGCTAATTCTAGCAATTGTAACTTCAGATTTCAGGAGAGGGTACACCTGGCCTGGTCCTAGCTCCAGAGATGGGTGTTAGGCTGCAGTACTGTTTTCCAGCAAGGAGGCAATAATTTACAAAGGGGAATTGCAGGTTGATGGTATTAATATTCCCCCAACAGAAGCATTAGGGGTACAGACTGGGTATTGTGCCAGAGGGTGATGTATGAAGTGATCCTTAGGTCATACTATACAGCAGTCTATTTACAAGGAATTCACCTTTGCCTTTACTTTCTCACATTGTGGTGTTCTACTCTATTACTGCTTGATTTCAGAAGCGAGCATACAAAAGCTACGTGCGGGCCCTCCCCATGCTGAAGAAGATGGGAGTCAGCTCCATCCTCCTCCGCAAGAGCATTGGTGCCCTAGAAGTGGCGTGTGGCATTGTCATGACACTGGTGCCCGGTCGCCCCAAAGACGTGGCCAACTTTCTCCTCCTTCTCCTTGTGCTGGCTGTGCTCTTTTTCCACCAGCTAGTGGGGGATCCACTCAAGCGTTATGCCCATGCTCTGGTCTTTGGGATCCTGCTTACCTGTCGCCTGCTGATTGCCCGCCAGCCAGAGGAGCAGCCGCCAGAAAAGAGGATGCTGTCAGTGAATGGGGATGAACAGCCACTCATCAATGAAGCAGCTCCTGAGAAAGGCAAAATGAAGGTATCCTAGTTGAGTGCGTGTGAGAAATACGGACCCTCGAGGCAGCTCTCTCCTGGAAATCACCCAGAAAAAAATTGTTTTTTATTTACCTATTTATATTTTTTCGTCTGTCTAAATAAAGTTGCACTTGGGGTCTGAGAGACACGTGGTATGTGTACACTGTAGTCTTGCTTTTGCTGCTACCCTGTAATGTAGATAAACACAAGCTAGCTTTCACTGGGATAGCTTGGAGGCAGTGAACAGCCTGGCTGGAGTATGCTGGCGTCAGCAGAAGCTGCAAAACCAGCCTGAGAGCATAGGCAAAGACTTGGACAGGTAATCATTGACAGTGCTAGCTTGGCACTGCTGCACTGGGGAGAACACATCCTGAGTAACAGCTGAAACCTGGCCTGGAAGCACTTCTGCTACATGGCAGGCTCAGCAGCAGCAGCTGGGTAGAACATAAGCTGGATGACCCTGTGCTGGCTTGCGTAGCCCCATCCACAAATCTATGTTTCCTTCTCCATGGTCAAGGGGAGAAAGGACCCTACCAAGCATAAAAGTGCTCCTGTGTTTAAGAGAGGGGTCCCTTAGGGGCTGCTTCCTCTGTGCCCAGTCCCTTCTTTGGACATCTAGGGAAAGCATGGGGTGCCCTATTTACATCTTTCTCAACTTCCACACTTTGCAGAGGCTCTAAAACTGGGACAGTGGCCTGATAAAAGTCATTTTTTTGCCCACTTCACACAAGGCAATGGCACCTCTTTACCCTTCTTTGCAGAAAGTAAGGATCCCTGGTGAGGGGATGGGGAGCAGAACTGCTCAATGAACTCAAAAGATCTGTCTGCTGTTGGCAAATAGCATCATGCTCCCTATTTCCTTCCAAGAACAAGATTCCTTTTTCCACAACTACTGCAGCTTTATAGAATTGTTGGTTGCTGCTGATAGATGAGGGTCTGAACATGTCCAGGTACCTTGCTGTTTATCCCATGTAGCTTTGGTGAGCCGGGGGAAGTCCTCTCAACAGAGCCTGAATCCATGTGTTGTATCTGAAACCTTGGAGTGTCATAAGAAGCATGTGTTACCTCTGAGACTGTTTTTCTTGATGTTTGTTTTCAGTTTTTCCTTGTTTTCTTAATTCCTCACATTAATAAACTTTTTGAAATATGGAGAAAACTGTCTTGATAAAAAAAAATTATCTATTTTTTTTCCAAGAGACACATTTGAAAGTATTTTTCCCGTGCTCAACACTGCCCCTAAAATGGGCAGAATCGTATCAGGGGGATTTCAGGGGAAGATAAGGTGATGCAGGATCAAAGCCATCTGAATATTACTGGGCTTTACATCAATAACCACAGGCATTTAAAACAAGTGCTTCATCATGAAACAGTCTCAGATAAATTTCTGCTTCAGTACAATGTGTCAGCAAGAAAAGATATTAAAACTCCGGTAAAACGTATTATGTCTGTATAAGAATTAATGATGGATGTTCGTACACAGTATATCCAGTTTCCTTCGAAATTTGCTGCTGAAACAGCTGTAATCCCAAATATATCTATATGTGCTGAAAAATCTTCCTCCTAGAGCCCCTAAGAGTGACTATTTCTCTCTTATCAGATATGCACGCTGCACAAAGGAAACTACAAACAGGCCACCTTTCTTAGGCAATCTCTCACCTTTACAGACTACCTCAAGGCCATCCCAAATGTATATAGGATTTGCTTTACTTTCCAAAATGCATTTCATCTACCATGCCCTGACTCATTAATCACTTTTTAATGCAAAAGCAAGTATCACCCACTCAGCCCCCACCATGATGCGTTTTCCTACTCAAAATACTCAACTTTTGAGTTGAACTGAGGTGAACTGCAGCCTTTTGGCCAGCTGCCCCTGATACATGCATCTACCTCTGCTGCAAGTGTTCGTGTTTGCCTTTTGTAACGTTCCTCAGTGAAACCTGTAGAGATGCCGTACTAAATGTAAGAATATACCACATAGCAAAACTTATCGTTGCAAAACCTTCAGACTATAAGTGAATTCTGAAAACCATCCCCTTTTCACATTTGCAGCAGTATAAATTACTGACTGCCAGCAGCAACGTGATCCTTATTAGGGAGGAATACAAAACTCATTTGGGTAACAAGAATTCTGTGTTTATCTATATTGAGTTGACCTCCATCCTTGTCCCCCAGCATCAGCAAACTGTGGAAGCATCTTTGCTTGCTCGAGGTTGTAAGTCACCAAGAACTGATTTAGTCCCTTTGTTAAGTCAACGACGCCCATTTACTCTTTTTTTCCCCCTTTCTTTCTTCATCTCCAAGCCCATCATTGCAGGGGGTTGGTCTGGCTGACCTTTGCAGGTCCTTTCCAGCCCAAATTCTACGATCCAGTCCTTTCAGTCTCACCCCATTACTGAGGGCAGGCACCTCCTAGCGCCATGCTTCCCTCCCCACTGCCAAGACCTATCACAGGAGGGGTGCCTGTCCTGCAGCCTCCCCCAGGGCTCCCCAGAACCGCTGACCCACCCGCAGGACCGGCCCAACATCTCCATCCTCTGTTAAAAACGGGGCAAAAAGAACCATCACATCCCATCCCGTCACCCCTATCACAGCTCCAACCCTTCGCGCTTCAATACCCCCCGCCATCTGCCTCCCGCCGCCGCGCCACTGCGCATGCTCAGAGCCACCCTGGGCAGAGGAGGAGGAGGAGGAAAAGAGCACCCTCGACCAGAGGAGGAGGAGGAGGAAAAGAAAAGGAGAAAGAGAAAGAAGAAAAGGAACAGAACGAAGAAGAGGAGGACGAGGAAGAGGAGGAAGAGGAGGGGCGCCCGTTGGGCGGGCCCGCCTTGCGCGGGCGATGTGCGCATGCGCGGAGGTTTGAACTGAAGGGCGGTTGGTGCTGGCGCTAAGTGAGGTAACTGGCGGGGCTCCGGGTATGGCAGCCGGGATAGCCTCGGAGCGGCTTCTTACCCCGGCAGCGGCAGCGGCAGCGGCAGCGGCCGCGGCAGCGGCCTTTGGGGCTACGGAGCCGGCGTGTTTGAGCGCGGCGGTGGGGCTGGGCTGGGCTGGGCTGGGCCGGGCCGGGCCGGGCCGGGCCGGGAGGGCCTTGTCGCTTTCCATTCCCTCAGGGCCGCGTCCGCTCTGCTGCGGCCTCCGGGGGCAGCCGGAGGGAGAAGGGTGTCGGCTGGGAGGAGGGGAGGGGATATTCGTGCCCAGTATCCGTGTGGAAGAGTCTGGTACTGAAGAGCTGTGTGGTGGTGGGTTCGCTGTTAGTAAGAACTGGTGTTACAGCCTGTCTGGTACTTCTGCCCTAAAGTCTGGTGACCTGCTCGAACCCACCAAGCCTTTCTGGTAGAAATACTGCAAAACAAAAGAAAACTAAATAAATCCATAAATCCAGGTGGAGGTGCCAAGGACTCTGTGAGAAAGCTGTTGCTGTACTGCAGGCGTGATAAATGACGGCTGCTGGCTTGCTCTGCTTCCTGAACCGCTTAGAGCATGCTCAGGTGGTTCAAGATGCAACAAGCAAGATTCCAGTGTCTGGGGTCTTCTGTAACTCTTGTATCATGTCAATCCAAGAACGGGGTAGTTGCTATCGGGAGTTTTCAGTGTTCTGAAGCATCTCAGTTATTCTTGGTCACCATCATGTAAAGCATCTTTGTGATGTGCTTGGTATTGTCCTTTAATACTGGGGGGATATTTTTCACCTGAAGTCAGTAGTTGTCATTTGTAACTGTGAATACCCTGTGTGTGTATATCGTATGCTTCAGAGGAGGTCTTGATGTTCCTAGCAAGAGACTTGTTCTTGGTATGCTGCACGGAGAAGTTAGTGACAAACCTATAGGAAAATAGGGATGATACTAATGTCCTAGGAAAGTGAGAGCTGAAGAGGGAGTAGAGTATGAGTCAAAAATCATTCTGGTTTATTGTGTCAGGAAGGCTTGGAAGCAAAAGATGGGCTCCAGCAATCCAGGGACATGCATCATACTAACAAACTTGGAAGCTGTAGCAAAGCTTTATGTTTTGTGAGTAAAAGGTTGATCTCTCCAGTGTACTGAGGAGAAAAATGCTGAATTTCAATGGTTGAATTTCACCCAGGGCTAGGCAGTTCTGCAGTGTTGGTAGCTCTTCTGCTTCACTGGGAAGTTTGCCAAAAATATATGGTTTTCAATCTTGGCTGTTACATAAAAAAGTTGCAGAAGAACCTAAATTTTGTAAAATAGGGAGATAAGTGTTGTTATGATCATCTAAAATCTGTACGTTGCTTGCAGGAAAGCATGACATGTTGACAGTTTATATTGACATGCGTAATACACGTAATGAAACTTGGAAGAAAACTGTGGATTGTGTTTTGCTAAGTATCTGATTATGTTAGGTTTTGGGTCAAACCCCTATATGAAATGTTATATCATTTACAATTGAAAGGAGTTTGTGTTAACTTTTACCTGTGATTTGTTTTCTTCCCCGTTTGAATCAAAGAAAAGAATGCCGTTTTGACACACTGTTATCTGTGCATCTTCTGAATATATTGTATGACCTCTGGGGGGCAGGTGGCTCCAAATGACTTCTTCAGAAGTTATGCTGTTACATTATGTAGGATCCCTCTGAAAGCTATTCTTTTCTTGCAGGGAATTGGCTCTCTGTTCTTCAGTTGTTGGAGGTTTATCTATTTTCTTGCTTCTTTGTAATGAAGGATTGGAACCCATGTGACAAATGAGTAAAATTCTTCAATCTCAGTTGGGAGTCTGAAAAGATGCTGCAAAGTAAGAGTTCTAAGACCCCAAAGGAGCCTCTGCAACAGCACCAGAAAAGCCAGTCTGGTCTCTCTGCATGGTTAAAAGTGGGGAGAATTGACCCTGAAAAGAGTGTTCAGGATCATCAATCTCTCGATCACCAGGAAAATTACAGCAAGCAAGAAGACTCACTGGAGCCAGCTTTGAGCTACTTTGCAAAAGGTACGAGCAGCTTTCAGGTTAGCTACCCAAGGTTGAAAAGATAACAACTAAATTCTTAATAACAGCAATAGTAATAT